AAAACTCAAATCTTCCTTTCAGGAATTCATGGATTAAAATGTACTATTACAAAGCTCCTATTTATTTCCAGAGGTGAATTTTTTCCTCCCCTTTTAGAATGATCAGATTGTAGTAGAGAATGAGAAGTACGTAGTTAGATTTTTACCCTAAAATCATTGCGTGAGTTGTGGAATGTGGTAGCCCAGGAGTTCTAAGTAGGAGGAACAGCCCTATTGTGAATCAGACTGGGCTTCAAGATGGATAGGTCAATCTTGATTTACTGGTTGACCTAAAACATTTATAACTGTTCAATTCTCAGATACAGTATCATTTAAAAGGGCTTTTAGAAATGGATTGGTCTGTAAAGACAAAATGCAAAGGTTGATAGTATAACAATTTATATAAGTTATGTTAGCCAGATAAACTTAGCAAACATTTTAAGATATATAGATGGGAGGGGGGGGAGGAGCTGATCCCAAGGGTTCAATGGAAAGTAAATGTCTAGAAAATAATGATGACATATATGTACTAATATGTTGGATGTAATTGATGTATGGATTGTAACAAGTTGTAAGAGCCTCCAATAAAATGATCACCAAAAAAAAGATACATATAGTTCATTGTAGCTGTTTTTTAGACATAACCTTCTAATTATAACCATTCTCTTTTTCTTTTTCTATGGTGTATTTGGGGGCATGTAGACCATGGGGAACTCATATGCTGGGCAACTGAAATCCACTCGATTTGAGGAAGCTCTGCACAATTCCATAGAAGCCTCCCTCAGATGTAGTAGTGTGGTACCTCGGCCAATTTTTTCCCAGCTATACTTGGACCCTGACCAGCATCCTTTCTCATCTGCAGGTAAGTTTCTTAGTCACACAAATTTCTAGGTTTCTCTTAAGTAGAGACTCCAGAAATTTGTGGGTTTCTAAAATAAAAAGGCTAAATGCTAGAAAACACTAGTCGCCCTTTCTTCGAATATGCCTTCCCGAACTATGTTCTTTGTCTTCTGATTGTTTTTCATAAGGTTATTTTTTATTAAATTAGCTATGATTTATTGGCTTCACAGATGTGAAACCTAAGGTGGAGGATCTGGACAAAGACTTGGTGCATCGCTACACTCAAAATGGAAGTTTGGATTTTTCTAATAATCTGACAGCTAATGAAATGGAAGATGATGAAGATGATGAAGAAATGTCTGAATCAAATAGCCCACCAATTCCCTATTCACAGAAACCTGCCCCAGAGGGGTCTTGCACTACAGATGGTGGGTTTCAGTTTGTTTGTTTTCAATCCTTCTAATAGTGTCTGGCTAGGTTCTGATTACATGTGGTATTCAGTGCTTAAAACCAGGAATTATGGAAATGAGTCAGTAGTGATTGTGCTGTCACTCACGCTATCTCCCAGTGGGTGTCCATAAGAATGACATAGCATGACATGTGTCATTTTATGGCTGAGGAGATTTAAAGCAGTTGAATGTGGCATGGCATGTAACAAAGGCAAGCCTAGACTCCATCCAGGCCTCTTCTATTGATGCACGTACTTGCAGTAAGAAGGAAAATATTTTAGGAGATATTTTGGTGTTCCCCTTCATACTTTAATTCTCACCTCCAAACGAATTCAATTTATTTCTGGTGGCTAAGCACTGGACTGCTAACCACAAAGTTGGCATTTCAAAACTACCAGCTGTCCTTAAGGAAAAAGATGAGGCTGTCTGCTCCCATAGAGATCTACAACCTCGGAGGCCTAGATAGGGTCACTGACTCAGTGGCAGTGGGTATGAAGGACAAAATGTAATTATGTTGCCAAGACCATTTTATAAATCAGTGTCAACTTTCGCTTCTGCCAAATCTCGAGCCACATTTTTAATAAGAAATTTCTCATGTAAACATTTTCAGTATTTCAAGGATTTGGTGATACCACAATTTGTTACACCCTCTTCCCTCCATTGAGGAGCCCTGGTGGCATAATGTTTACTTACTGGCCTGCTAACAGGAACGTTAGCAATTCAAAACCACCAGATGTTCCTAGAAAGAAAAATAAGGCTTCTTACTCCTGTAAAGAGATACAGTCTCAGAAACCCACAGAGGGGCAGTTCTAGTCTGTCTTACAGGATCACTATGAGTCAGAATTGACTCAATAGCAGGGAGTTTAAGTTTTGATTCCACCTATTTAATGTTATATTGCACTGTTTTCTGACCATCACAGCCTAATTACTGGATAATTTTTATAACTGCCTTGGGCCTGGGAGTATTCCACTGTATGGAAATTTGGGAATGAATGTGGAAATGGGGGTGGGGGGTTGAGTAATAAAATCTCCAAGACAGTCCTATAAAATCTTAAGTGCAAATCATTTGATATTCAAATTTGCAAAAAAAACACACCAATAATTGTGCTTATACTGGTCTATAACATTTTCTTTTGACTTTAGTACTCTGAGCTTAAGCATGCCTGAATCAGTAAAATTCAGTGGTAGGAAAATAAAAAGTGGTGGTGTCTCGTAGCACTTAGTATTGCTGCTCTTTGAGTTGAGCCTGCGCATCATTACTTACAAATTTGCTTCCAGATATGAGTGAGAATTTTTTCTTACTTAACATATGCATAATGATTTATTCATTATTGATATAATACTTAGCCTATAAACCTGCTTTATAGTCATTTTCATGCCTACTGTTTAGTGGATCAGTCAACTCAGTTTGTCAACTAACCACTAGGAATGCGTTTTAAAGAAACAGCTCACTACCATCTAGTTGATGCCTGCTCACAGTGAACCCTATCAGGCAGGATAGAACTGCCCTGTGGGTTTTTGAGACTGTGACTCCACTATCAGAGTAGAAAGCCCTGTCTTTCTCCCTTGGGGCAGCTGACGGTTTCATACTCCTGACCTTACAGATTGCAGTCCAGTTTTGTAGCCACTACACCACCAGGACTTCTGAAGGACATTTAAGTTGTGCTTAAAATAATGCTGGATGCTCATTGAAAAATCTTCTTTATACCTGAGAATTAAATGGAACCAGAGTAAAAGCTCTAAAGACTAATTTTGAAGTATCAAAATTTTAACCAAATCTAAATGGAAGGATTCCCCTGTGCTTTAACTCTATGCTTGTATGTATTGAGTATATGTGAGTTTTATTGAGTATGTATGAATGAGTATGTATTGAGTTTGCCTATCTGGTGCTGCATTATTTGTAAGCAGGTACTGGAAGCTGTTTAGTACCCACCAAGATATAAACTCAGTGATTAGTAGAGAGCAAATAGTTCTTGAATTTTAGAACATGCGAACACTGCTCTTATCCTGTAGAGATTCTGTAAAGTATGAGGGAAGGGAAATAATTATTTTAATTAGAAAAGAAAAAAACCACGGAAGTGTTTTTTCTGACAACAAAGAACCCAAGCGTAAGATTCAAATTCTAGGACCACCAGGAGAACAGGAGTTCTGCATTTAGATTCTTATGTCAGCTACTTTAGTTTCTTGTAATTAACTATGTATTGTTTGTTTCTCCCACCCGTTCAATTCACTTGAGGATGGGCATTTAAGACAAAAAACAGAATTTGTAAGTTGATCGTTTATAGTTTGTCCATAGCTCTTTTTCCCAGTTGGCTCATTCTGAGAGAGCTCTAAGAATCTTCTCACTCAGAATTTCTCACTCAGCCTTGAATTTTCCCTTGAAAAATGGTAGTGACTTAGGGCAATATAATGCCAGGACATGCTTCAGCATACCACCTCCCCTTGGTGGGAAATCCTCTATTTGCCTAAGGTTTAAAGGAAGGTAAGGCTATTTTGAGAGGCAATTTAGATAAGCAGATATTTAACACCTGATGTGCTGCTGAGGGGTTTACCATTCAGATGTAAATGTTGGCTGCTAATTTCTTATGTAAATTATTGCAATAGTGTAGGTTCCTACCCTGCTGAGAGTCGGTTGATTGTCTTAGAGGAGAAGAACAACCAAATTTTAGGCTTTCAAGGTGGCTTTGATTACTTAAGTTTGTGTTTACAGCTGTGTCAGTAACTTTTCCCCTCCCCCCTCTCAGTTTACTCTGTAACCTTCAAGTTGAAGATAATTGGAGAATGCAAATCTCCTGTGAAGTGAAAACCTTGGCTGTTTTCTTAAAGAAATGCAGATTAAATTTATAAAGAAGGGCTTCTATTAATCCCTTTTTCATGAAAATCTTTTGCTCTGCAAGAGCCTAGGCTTTAGAGCAGTATTTCAATAATACTCTCAAAATGAAACTGTTAGGAGGGCAAATTTGTGAAATAAATCATTCTTTGTATGTACCTGTGTATGGATGTATGGCTTAACACACACACACACACACACCACCCCCACCCCGTGTATGCTAAACAGATTTAGGTCTTCCCTGGATCTACCAGGAGCCTCTGCCAGAAAGATCGCATCCAGATATTAGATCTTTCACTTTAATTAAGGTTTTTATTGAGATTTGCTAGTTGACATTGATTAGACTAATAGCTTGACATAACAAAATAGAATTCATTGTCACAACAGATTTTTGGATTTTAGCAATCTTGATAATACATTTCATAGATTCTTTATTTATCTGCCTTTGTTTACACACACACCTCATTTCCAATTAAAAACAAACAAAAAAACAACATTAAATTCTTTTTTTTTTTACATAATTTTTCCTTGGGGTAATTCCTGTTGATATATATGTTTGTTATATAATTAGCTGCTTGAATCCTGTTGATAAGGATTGAGAGGAAATGGCAAAGAAGTATCACAGCAAAAAGTCAACCCTTTGGGAAAGAAGCTCATTCTTGGAACAAGCTACATGCTGAGTAAATGTGATTCTTTGATCCTTGGCCATGAATTCATTCTTCTTGACCCTGGCTCCTAGACTTGGCCTTTGTCCTTCCTCTCTGCCTCTTCTTCTCTTTCCTCTGAAACAAATGGTCTGTGGGGCTCATGATGGCAAATAACGAAAGGGACAGCAGATACAATGTGGCATTTTTAAAAGACCCTCACCTTTAGAACACTTTCAGAGTTGATGTCAGAAGAATTGAGAAGACAGAGAAGACAGAGGGTTCCTATTGTCCTTCTCACTCCAGCCCCCCCCCAACAGTTTTCTCCATGTCTAACACATTATTACAGTATACGTATTATCCTTCTCACTCCAGCCCCCCCCAACAGTTTTCTCCATGTCT